TGACGGCTTCGTTTGGCCTTCGGCTTCCCCGTACCTGGATCGCTTAAGGATCAACACCGCTTCACGTCCCCGGACCCAAGCTTGGGGACCCCAATCACCCGAGGATGTCTCTCTTTTTGAGGGCACCCGGAAAACGGGGTGGCTTAAAGGACAGCTTAAGAGGAAACGACCAATTCATTGGAATTCTTGATTTTGAGACAAAGACAATATTTGAACCCGAACCAGGTTTGGGGGGAGACTCGCCCGAAAGAGCGCTGTATGGAACTACACGGAATTGCAAATGGCATCCTTCCTGCCCAATTCAAGATCAACACATGTCCATTCGTTATAGATTCCCTTTAAAACCAACAGCGGAAAATAACAACCGCAACTTAAATGGAAGTCTTTGTCTTGAAACCAACCCCAAAAAAGGAAAGGCATCAGCAATAAAGACACAGCAGGGTGGGCGATGACACCTCCGGTTCAAACATGGCAATGGCAGGCCTAAATATTTACTCCGTCAAGCTATGACCAGGAAACAGTGAAGTTGACAGGACACTCTGGCAGTACCCGAAAGTAAATAAGGGACAACCTGGCTTTGGCATCCTTTCAACAGCAGTTCCCACGATCGTGTTGCGGGTTGGACTGTCACACCAAATCCCTCCCATTTTCAAAACGCAGAATCTGGTGGACTTTCCTAGGAAGTGAAAGCATAGGCATTAAGCCAACAGACAACCAAGCAGTCAAATCACCAGCAAAGCAAACAGCCAAAGAAGCAGCGACTTAAGCAAAAGCAAAGCAAAGCCAAGCGAATCAAAGCACTAGGAGCCAACCTTGTTTTGTTCAAAACATATAATATACGTTTAAAAAGAACAAGAAACACAACACCATCAAGACACATGTGGAGCCGTTCCACTTCCCCGAATCGATTGCCAGGACTCGAGTTCCCCGACCACATGGTAGGTGGAGTGCTGGCGATGGGATAGGTCAAGGGGATGTCGTCCACAAGGCCCCTGCAGTCACCGAGGACACGCGGTTGCTTTCTGCTCCCCAGCTACAACCCAGAGGCTCCCGATTGATTTAGGGCCCTCAAATAGCCAGGTTTTGAGACCCCCGAACACATCCGGGGTGTTCAATGGAGGGTCTGGGTCTTCCATTGAAAGCCCCGGGAAGTGAATAACTTTCAGTGGTTTAATGGGAAAACCCATTACTTGGCAAAAAGTTAAAGTCCTAACATCCCTTGGCAAAATGCACCAAAGGAGAAATGTCACAAGACTGACGAATCAGCCTGGTGCCATGGACAACTCTAGGAGTCGTTTTTGCAGCAACCCTAAAAGACCAAGAAGCAAAAATAGACCCCATGTGTCCATCATATCCCCCCCTCCCCCCCGGCGAGTCATCAATCGCGAAAAGTCACCCCGGAAGAAAGGATTTCCAAAAAGGCTCCCCCCCCCCCCCCTCCCCCCGCCTTAATAGCAGAGGGGCGGTTGTTAATCAGGGGTCGACATTGCTTAAAGCGCTTACCCAAAACCCATGGAAAAGCATCAGAAGGGTGGATCTCCGCACCTAGTTTTTGTTCCTGCCCCTAAACTTCATCTAGGCGTTCATTGTGGCTCGAGTTGGCCCCCGAAGAACCAACCGCCTTGTTTAACCAGGGGATCTGGAACATAAGACACTACATACCCTAGCTCCTCCAGTAGAGAGGTTAGAATAAGGGCACCCTTTTGTCTGTAGTCGATTTTAGTAGGGGAACCCTCCTGCAACAAAGGGTAAAAGGGGACCTAGTACCCATTATGGCACAGAATCACTCTAAGAACCTTTAGGAATCGATTGGATTTAGCCTCTCACCCGAGCCACAAACACAAACAATTACGTTCTGAAAAGGGCATGGGATTGTTGGCCGTCCCCCCTGCTTTTCCGAGAATTTCGGCTCTGCCTTGCATGTCCTCACCACCAACATTAGACTACCAACGATGTTGCGTCTACTACGCGGTTTCTTGCAAATTGTAGTGTGGGCTCCACAACAACTTTACAGTTGATTGAAAGTAGTTTGCACAATTCCCGCATGGTTTAGTCATCCCCATACTTGCAAACAAAGCAATGGCCATCTGCTGTCACCAATTTTCTGTGGGTCCAATACAACATCCACTGTTTCCACCAAAACATGTTGACGTCCAAAGATCCAAGCAAATAGCCGTAAGGTCAGACACGGGTTCTGCAGGCTGCGCGCGCCGCCGACTCGCCGGACCACGAGTTCTCCTGAGGTTCGGGCTTGCTCAAGGTGAAGGCGCCCGCCGGGACGGAGGTCGCGTACCAAGACCCCGACCTCGGAACCTGCGCGAGAGGTGAAGAAACCGTCCTTTGAGCAAAACGGGGTGGCTGGGTTCCATTCACTGGAAGGGTTTGGGGGGAGCATTTGTTTAAACGTTGCCTTATTGCAACCCCCAGGGCTAGACGCTTTGCAGAAGAAACACAAAAGGCATCGAGCCCCTCATTTCGGCGTTTTTACAAATGCCACGACCGAGCGATCGAGCCCCTCATCGCTGGTGAAAAAGCGACGCGGGTCTTGGAGGAGCTCTTTTTGAAGAGGATCTCGTGGGCACATTTGGCCATGGGTCAAAATCCTGCACCCCGAGATAATTTTCCCAATCCCCACTGAAATAGGTTCTAAAATTGGTGCACCTACCAACCAAAATGGGATCCCATTGGTTTTGATTTACAGCCATTTCGGTGCTTCCCCAAAGTTTAAAGGCTTAACATGGAATTGCACAAACCAACCATCCAAGCCCTGTTCAGAAAAGAACTCTTCGGGTTCCACTCTAGCACCCCCCCCAAAAAAAAAATCAGCAGGATAGCGACCAGCCGAATCCATCGACTCCCGCCTGAACTGGCCAGGACGGATTCCTCGGCTGTGAGCTAAGTATTGGCTTCCGGCAAGGGCTGGCTCCGGTGTCAAGTGGACGTGGCTCAAAAATGGAAGCCCAAAAAGAACACCTGCGTAATCCCTGCTGTTTCATTTTGAGCCACCCAGTTGTTTAAAGGGAAATCATACGATTTTGAAACACAAATGCCAATGCCCGTAGGAGGGGCATATGTGGCCGCTTGGAAAGTGTGCAAATGTGTGTCTGTGTGCATTCTGCTTGGGGGGACTCTGTTTAAAGCCCGTGTTTGGGGGACCAATTCCCTATATTGACCGCATACCCAACATGGAGGACCCCTGGGTTGTGCTTAAGGGGGAATCACCAGGAAACCATTGAGTTCATCGCACAGTGCAAAAAGTAGGTAACCGCACTAGAAACAGCACGATTATAAGGAACGTAGCGGGAATTTCTTGGCAGCATGGCAGATATCTTCTAGGAGAATGGCCAAACTTGAGAAACACACAACTAATCATGGAGTAACACCGAAAGAAGCAACAAACAATCCACCAGACACAACGTACTGGGCATAATCAAAACGCTAACCCCACAGGACTTTGTTTTGTATTCGTTGTTGGCTCTTGTTGTGCTTTGCTGTTTGTTGTTTTTTTTGTGTTTTGTTTTGTGTTGGCTTTGTTGTGTTTTGTTTTTTCGTTCTTTGTTGGTGTTTTGTGTTGGTGTTCTTTGAGGTGCTTCGTGTTTTTTGCACATGCAAGAAAGGCCTTTCTTTGGTACTTCGTTGGCCTTGATGAGATGGCCTTCCAGATTTTGCATACAAAGGCATTCTCAAACACGAGGAAGATCTTGTCTTGCTTATCAAAAGCACAGTTGTGGGAAGCCAAAAAAAAACATTGGGTTTCGATGAGCTCAAGGCATTGGCTTGTCACCACTGCTTACGTCACCACCCAATCTTTTTTTTGTAAGCTTCTCTTTTTGCCTGGCCAGGTGCCTTCACTTGCACTTGGCTGAGGCAGGGCGCTTGTAGGCGGAAAATGCAACCCAACAATCAGTGCACACATAGCAAACCATCTGGCTGTGGCTCAAAAACCTTGTACCCAAAATGGAACCCTGGTAAGTGGAAACATGGACCAACACCTGGATAACCCCTCCTGTTTAATTTTGAGCCACACCCATATGGCAAATGCCAGTGAAATTGATTGTTGTGGATTTTATTTTTCGGCAGAGTGGTATTTCTCTGTAGTCAATAGAGAGGGCATTGCCCCGAGCATGTGCTTTTCATTTTCAAGTAGTGTTGCACAATCTGCTAGGATGTTGGATGCTTGTAGTTTAACAAGCAAAAGCATTTGCAAGGATTCTAAGACCAAGCTTCAAATATGCTAGTATGCTAGCCATGCACTATCGGGAGTCGAGCATGACGGGATGGAATTCCTTTCACACAGACCTGACATTTGCTTGTTTCCCATCAAGGAAAAACGTGTTTTACGCGTAATTCACACCCACTCAAAGCAGAATGTGCGTGAGAAACAAACAACAACATCCTGAAGAAATGGAACCAAGATCAAACGGTCCCATCTCATAGGCAACAAACAAACGAGTGGCTCAACTGGTCGTGTACTGAAATTGGAGAACCGACCCACCAGGGGTCACTGGATTTCTCTTCAAAAGTTGCAGCTTGCTGGTGAGTTCCAACCAAATTGCCACTTTATGTCCAAAAAAAGGCAAACGGAGGAAGCCCTGTCCGCTGTTGAGTGACACAAGTTTCTCCCATGCGGCTCGGGCTTCAGCCCACAAGGAAGCAGAACAGACCTGCTCGGAAACAAAGATCAGGACGTGTTCCTTGTGGGGACTCCTTACGTCCGCTGTTACCCTGATTCGCCAATCATGGAAGCTGACTGACGAAGGCGTTTTGGATGACGTTCTCTTGGAAAGGCATGTCTATTGTCCACTTCCATGATTCCTGGAAGAGCGTAATCAACAGTCAACCTGCTAGGTCCCGTGCACCTTTTTCAGCAACCGCAACCGCAAGCGCCAGGCCAACGATGCCTTCCGCGAGCGAGACCCGGGGGTCACCGTTGGCACAGAGCTCGCGTTTTTCAAGGCTCCGAGGAGCGCTTCAACCGGACTGTCGGACCGGCGGAGCGGTCACTTGCCACCCATGATGTCATAACCTGGGCCGATCACGGCTCATGTTGCGCTGTGAAGCGCGAGTCCAAACGAGGTGGTTTCGGGACCACAAATGCAGGAAACCAGGAGGGGAACCAATGTCAATCCTCTTTTGCTTGGAAGCTGAACTTAGAACAGGAACCAATTTCCTCAAGAAAGGGAACCACCACAGAAACGGACGCAATTTCAATCCTTTACCTTGAACTCACTGAAGCCGCCAGAAACCAAGGCTCAGGCCCGCTCAGGCCTGCTCAGGCCTGCTCAGGCCTGCTCAGGCCTGCTCAGGCCCCCACACGGCGGCAGGGAATTGGTGGACAGCTGCACCTGCCTAAGCCGTTGCCCGTCTTTCTCTCCCTCACACTCCAACGAACCCCCCCAACCTCTAAAACAATAACCCCCCCATGAGACCCCAACTAGGTCCTCCAGTAGAGAGGTTAGAAACTGTTTTTTGTAGTCTGTTTTAGTAGGGGAACCCTCCCCACCAAAAAAAAAACGGTCAAAGGGCACCTAGCTGGGGGACCTAGCCAAGGAAGAACCCCCAAAGGACACCCCATGAACCCTTTTTCAGGGGCGCCACGTTTTGCTTTCCGAGGCGCCTTGAGCCGCAGGACTTCAATGTGTACCACTCGTTGAGTTTCTGCCACCCCGAGTGGAACTCCGTCTCCATGGCCCGTTCCCAGTCCTGATTCTCCATGCCATGGGTCAAAACCCAAATCGTACCCCCAGTGAACGTCTCCATCCTCACTAAAATAGGTTCTAAAATGGGTGGCGAATTCACCAATCCCAACCAAAATGGGATCCCAAAACAGTTTTGACAACCACGGCCATGGGCCAAACTGCAGCGCCCTCGACTGTCAGGTGGGTGGGTCTTTCCCCCCCCAAGCAACACAACCTGGCGCAGCGGTTTTCCCGTGGGCTTCCCCTTGAAGCCAAGAAAAGGGACACACACACACACACACCAAGGGAAGGTTACAACCACGGCAGGCCAACTAACCCAGTTACCCCAGATATAACTTTGCTTATATGTACTAGGTTGAACATCTATCTGACAGCACCAACAATTCCCTCAGTCTATCTGATCCAATGATCTTCCCACACATAGGGTTCTAGCACTCAACCATGTGGCCAGATATTAAAAACAAAAAAACAATGCCCATCGCGGGCGCTGCAGGCGCAAGCGCGCAACAAAAACGGGCCACAAACCAAAAGCGCGGCTGGAGAAAAGGCCGAGGCACGCGGACCCTCGGGTTCTCGCGGTACTTGGAGCCCTCGCCCATGTCCCCGGCATCCTCGTCCATCTCCAAGTACCTCAATTTGGGTATGGGTCATGGGGATTTGCATTCAGCAAAACCAAGCTATCCTTTTCAAATTCTACAACCCCTAGAAACAGTCAACATCATGACTCCACTCCAGCACCCAGAATGGGACTTGCTGTGCTTTCTTTCTTTCTTTCTTTCTTTGTTTTCTTTTCTTTCTTTCCTTCTTGCTTTCTGTATTTTTCTTTTTTTGGGGAGTGGGGTGGGAGTTGGTTAACGTTGAAAGACGTTCCTCACCCCAAAACAAACAGGTCAAACAGCGGAGGCGCAGGTCTGCTTTTATCATGTTTCGGAGCAACACGGCAAGAGGGGGGGTGCTCGCATGGGTATTTTGCAGATGGCGGCTCTCAAGTCTGAACTCGCCTGGAAACTTCGGGGCGTCCAGATTGAAACCAACCTTGTTGCTAATACCCATCTACCATTTTTATTATTACCACTATTGCTATTACCGTAGTGTCACTATTATCTTTGTTATGCTTATGAGTATGATGCCGAATCTGAATACTAGTGTTAAACTAATCATTATTGTTGTTATTACACTATGAAAACAACACACAGCACACAACATGGGGTTCGCTTCCCCTGACAACAAATCTTTGACAACCATCTAATTGAGGATGCATATGCTGTCCATCTGGGACTTCACATTCAAATCAATCGAATCTGCGAAAAGCCTTGTGGCTCTCAAAAAAGGGCTTCCTGGACCCACACAATTCCCTAACAAATTGGCAACTGCCCCCAAAATTATGCGGCGAGTTCCTCTTTCATTGGGTAGTTTGCGGGTTCAGGTTTCTTTTGGTGCTGCTTTACCCGACAAGGGGCCCACGCCAACCATGGGTTTGTCAAACGCACCACGAAAAGGGATCCGGTTTTCCTTTCATTTCCCTATCCAACCCCACATTGTGGTACCTAGCCTCAAAACAAAAATCCACACCCATATTATGTTTCTAGTCCCCCTCCCCCCCAGCGATTCCACTTCTACCAATCCTTTTGTGTTGGAAACCAAATTGGCACCCTTTAACATCCCAAATGGAGCATGGATCATTGGGTTCAGCCTGTGGCATTACGCCTCCTAGGTCTTCCAGTAGAGAGGTGAGAATAAGGGTCCCTTATTTCTGTAGTCTATTTTAGTAGGGAACCCTCCCCCAAAAAAGAGTGAGAAAGGGCACTACTGGGGTACCTAGACTCTGAAACGCGTAACTCCCCGAGCACATGAAGAGCGAGGTCTCGTCCTTCGGGTCGGACCAGATGGAGATGGTCTCCACGCCAACGGCGGCCAAACCCTGCTCCACTTCCGGCCAGACACCCTCGGCCAAGCTGGGGTTGACCGGAACAGCTTGGAATTCACAACCAGAAGCTTGGAGGCTAACCGGCCGTTTTTAAGTTGGAGGTTGGAGGGTCCAGGCTTTTGATTCTTTCCCCGTTCTCATTTTTAGCAACCCCCGGTGATCACCTTTTCTTCTTGGGTCCTGACAACAACTTTGGGTCCCCTAAAAAAGACACACCCAAATCTGGAACCTCACAGAGAGCCCCTGGTTTGAAGCATTTTGCTTTGGTTTAAAGGCCCTTATTTCCATGTTAGTGGAGCAGAGGGTAACCTCAGATTGAACTCCCTGGGAGACCTGAATCACACATTACTTACATCTGGGAGGGTTCTTTCTTCAAAGGTACCCTTTTGGGGGTTGGTTAAAAGGGAAACCACAAGGAAACCTAGCCAACAGTCGAAGCATTAAAGGCAGAAATACATTTTACCAACTGGCTCAGCGAGCTATCCAGCTCACGCACTGACTAGCTAAGCTAGCTAGCTGGCTAACTAGCTCCCTCGCTAGCTGGCCAACTAGCTTGCGAACTAGCTAGCTAGCCAACTAGCTACTAGCTAACTGCTAACTAGGAGCTAGCGAGCTAGCTAGCTAGCTCTCCTAGTTGGCATCACACTGGCTAACCTACCAATCCAACCCACTGGCCAGCTAGCTAGCTCACAAGCTCGCAAGCCCCAAATGCCTTTCCCCTGAGCTTCACCCCCATTAAAGCAAGGCTTGACCCAATTTAGGTGATGACAATCCTTAGGCAAATGGTGGTTATATGAACCCAACCACTGGTTTGTAATGGTGGTATCTGACCCCCAGGGTTTCCCCTTGTTGCCCCTGGCAACATGGCAAGTCAAAAAAAAGGCTCGCAAAAAAACAAAAACAAAACAACAACAACTACCCCGCTGGAGGTCCGGCCTGATGATGGCGCTTGTAGAGCGCCACCCGGTCTGGCCGAACCTCGGAGATCGCCGTGCACGGGGTGAATTCAAGGAGCACCATCTACCTGGAGTCTCCTTCTGACCCGAATCAAACATGGTCCATCACCCATTTCTTTACTTCGGGTAGTGACCAACCATTTTTTAAGGGTCAGAAGGAGACTCCAGGTATACCATATTCGAAAGAAGGAACCATCTAGCCCCTTCGTACAGAGGTTTCCCTGAGGTGCTCTTAAAAAAAAAAAAAACAGCCACAAACAGCTTGCTGGTTGTCAGTAGGGAATCAACAGGGCGCTCGCTTATAGGACAGCCACGCCCGGCATGGTGTTGGTCGGTTCCCACGTCATTCCCTGCCTACAGCAGCCCAAAGGAAGAGCACCATAAAGAAAAAACAATAATAATAATAATAATAATAATAATAATAATAGTAATAATAATAATAATAAATAATAATAAATAGTAATAATAATAGTAATAATAATAATAACAATAATAATAATAATAATAATGATAAAACAAAAAAAAAAACAACAACAAAAAACAGAAGAACGAAAAAACACCTGGAGCCAAAGGAACGCACCAACTGACCCTGGGCTTAACTTACCAACGCAGTTTGAATGATCCCTGGGCACCTTGGGGGCTTAAGAAAGGGAAGGAGGTGTCCTTTGAGTTGCGCAATTATCTCTGCTGGGTTCAAACGACCATCAAACCAATGGGAGCGACTCCCTATGCTCAAACGTCAGGGGGGTAAGTAGGTTGCAACCATGGACCCTGAAGGCAGGCCACAGTTAAAACAAGAGTTGGGTTCGTATAACCATGATTTACCTAAGGATTGTCATCACCTAAGTTGGGTCCCGGCCTTTGGTTTAATGTTGAACCCTAGGGCTTCTCGGAGCCCCAAACACTTGGAGCACCCTGGAACTACGGCCCCACCGAGTCTCCAATGCCAATCGATCTACCTGGACCCGAAAGAACTGCCCATAGAAATGGGAATTCACCCCATAGTGTGGGGGGAATAACCAATATTTCAGGACATCTTGAGGGTCCATCTATTCTCATTCCAAAGCTTGGCTCATGCTTGAGACGCGTCCGACATTGGGCACATTGGGACCTCTCTGGAATCCCATCCAAATCCACACTGAAAGGGGCTTGCCCCTCTTAAATTTCGAATTCTCAAACTCTTCTGAGCACAAATCGACACACTGCCCGCAACGCTAAAGTGGGTCTATGGGATGAGGCTGGCCGAAACTGCATCTGGCCAGGAACCGTGCCTTTCAGTCGATGGGGTGTGTTTGGTCCGAGACCTTCGGTGGATTGTGGGAAAGTTGGCCCACCTCGACAGGGTCTGGGTGTTGAGGAAACCCGTTACAAAACCCCACCCTAAGTTGTCCACCAGGGGGGAAAGGGCAGTTGGCGGGGTCCTTTTTCAACATGTTCTTGCTCTTCAACCAAACTCCGGGCGTTTCCGTTTCGCCCGCCCCCCGCCTTCGCCATTTGCATGACCCGCGTCCGGCGCCTCTCACGACTTCTTCGCTTCGCCCAGAGCGCCCCGAGGCCAAAGCCCAGCGCGGCGGAGGCCAACGCCGCCGCCATGGACCCAGCGGACATGGCGACGCGACGTCCGCGCCAAGCGACGGGTATGGCGGGGCGAAAGGAACGCCGATGATGTTAACCCCGGATCTAAGCAGAACCCCGATCGGTTGATTTTGATTAAGGGGGGTGTCCCATTCCCTTTAGTGGTTGGATTCAGACCACTTTTGGAGGGAACACCCCCCCTAGTAATGGGACGGGTAAAGCCAAGTTGAAATCAAATCCGTTTCGAGGGGCTCCTTGGAGCTTCCTTGCTTTGGGCGTTTTCGCCTGAGGAAAGAGGAGAACCACCATTGTGCGCTAGTGATAGATTCCCGACAAAAAAGAAGAAGAAAAGAAACAAAAAAAGCCACCGAGCTGTTTGGCAATGCCCTAAAGTCCATGAACTCAGGAAGTGAGACAAGGAAGTCGTTTTTCGGGGCTGCTTTGGGAACAACCCCAAGTGAGCTTTTGGAATCTGGGTGCTGAGACAAGCTTTTGGCTTCACGTCGGCATGTTGGGACCCACACCTCTCCCAGGTATAGCATGTCGGCAAGGCCTGTACTGCTATGCGCTTGAGCCAGCCTGAAACCTGAGGTTGTACGAAGTCAAAAAAAGGCAAGAGCTTGCCCCTGTCTGCTTTTGCCTTGGTGAACGCTCCAAAGGTAAGTTGTTTTGCATGGTTCCCTCAGTGAAAACACAAACAAATGGACCTCCACCAGCGAAGAGATGCTGTCTGCCTCTGGGCATCTGATTCTGTCATGTCTTCACCTGCGCAGTGCAGAATTGCCTGTATGTCAAAAGCAAATCAACTCCCAAACAGATCTCCAAACAGTTGATTTCAGATGGGCGGTTTCACTAGGTCCTCCAGTAGAGAGCTTAGAATAAGGGAACCCTTTTGTCTGTAGTCTATTTTAGTAGGAAAACCCTCCCCAAAAAAAAAGGGGTGAGAAAGGGCACCTAGCTGGGGGACCTAGTCTAAACCCAGCGATGATCGTTCTCAGTGGCTCAACTCGCCCTTCTCGCGCCAAGCGTCAACCCCCCGCACTGGGAGATCGCCTTGTTCCGGTCCCGGAAGGTGCTCGAGTCCTCAGACATCAAATTTCCCTTGCCATAGATCGACTCAAGAGAAACCGATGCAGTGAGGCAACGCTCGCGCAGGGAGTCCTCGAAATAAACTGAACTGAAACATAAAGGATCTGCAAATCCTCCGGGCCGAGGTTACCCCCACCCCACGACTTCGTACAACTCCCAGCGCTTCAAGAAGCGCTTTCCGTCAAATCCTCTATTCAAACCATGAAACAAGCTTGGATCCCCAAGCAACGGGCCTTCATGGGGTCTTTGCTCCTTGTACCCCGAGGTGCAGGTATAAGATTCGCAGATTGTATCAGGTGTGCCCCCCAAGGCTCCTACCACATATTTTGGCAATGAAGAGGGCTTTGGTGTCCCGGAACATTGGGGTAAAACATAAATGCCTCCAAGGCCTTCGTTTTGTTTCCTCTGCCGGGCCTAGTCGGGAAAATTTTAGGGAATGTCTGCGCAGGGCTCCACGTCGGTTTGCCAGCAAAACGGCGCCTTTGAATTAATCTCTTCCCCCTATTAATAAATACGGGTCCCCCAAAAAATACAAGAACAGATGTTGAATGAAGTAAAATAATTTTCAGAACAACTTACCAAAATATAAAATATAGGTTTATAATTCAAATTTTAAATAAGGTTAATACATTATTCATATTCATTAACCTTATCTAATTCCTTGAAAATAATTTTACTTCATTGAAATATTATATAAGGTTAAGAAGTTATTCTACATATTAAAATATTAACCTTATACAATTTTATGTAAAATATTTATTAATAAAAATAATGTTAATTTTCTTCTGCCTGTTTCATTTCTAAATTTCTTTTATGCTTATTTGTTTTAAGATGTTGCTTTTTTAAACATTGAGAAAAATAGCAGTCACAAATAACACACTGAATTTTTATACTGTTCCATTTTCTATTACTTTCAAGTGATTTATTTCTATATTCATCATCTTCTTTATATCTTTTTCTATGCTCCTCATTGTATCTATCTTTATGTTTAATTCGGTTATTCCTTTTGTTTTCTGAACATTGCCTGCATTGTTTATTATCTTTATTAAATTCGTCAAATAGTTTCATTCTACCACAGTTTCTACATAATTTTCCATTATCAGTTTTGAATGAACCGTTTTCCAAAATTCCTTCATACATTGTACCTTTAATTAAAACACAAATGTTTCCTTCCATAGTTCTTATAATACAATGTCATTAAACCTTTAAATACATTTTAAGAAATTCCTATAATCAATATTCATTGAAACTGAAATCCCAAATTCCCAAAATATATTTTCCCAAAATCCCAAAATATAAATCCCAGAAATTCAAATCATAAATATCACAATGCTTTTATTGTAAGGGTTGAATTTTAATCGCAACAAATACCAAACACGGCACACCAAAAACGGTGTATGGACACACCAAAAACGGTGTATGGACACACCAAAAACGGTGTATGGACACACCAAAAACGGTGTATGGACACACCAAAAACGGTGTATGCATTAAATGATGCATTTTTGGCTTCAGAAACTCAAATTCCTTAATCCGTCAAAAACGGTGTATGGACACACCAAAAACGGTGTATGGACACACCAAAAACGGTGTATACATTAAATGTGGCGTTTTTGGTTCCAGAAACTCAAAATCCTTAATCCGTCAAACTCGTCAAAATCTCACAAATCAATTCAGCAGGTATTTTGTATAAATCTTCCTGCTTATGTATTACATAATTATCCCCCCATTCTGCTTTAGTTTTTGATGGCAGTCGTTGCGCAGTTTCAATATGTTTATTATTCCTTATTTGTCCACAATCTCTATTACATAAATCTCTAGGTGTCCAATTCGTAATGTTATTCCAAAGTCTAGTGCGTTTTCTGTAATTAAATCCATATTTGCAATAATCAACATCTTTAAAATCAAACTCATTCATAAACTCCTGATTTTTTAATAATCCAGTTTGAGGATTTTCGATTACAAAATATTTAGGATTAAAATATTTGATAATCTCAATAGTTTTTAAGACAATACTATTAGCATATTCGATATTCCTAATTCCTGTCGTTTTTGCTTTGCTGTATTCGGTGCACGGGGGACTGCTCCAAATAAAATCAAAATGGTTTCTGTCAAACTGCTTATAATCCCATTCCAAAATATCACAATTAATATCAGCATTTTTCAAATCCATTGATATTACATTAAAGCCTAATGACTTTGCAATCGTTCCAACTGAACCTGTGCCTGAAAATAATTCTAATAAATTCATATTATTAGAATTATTTAGATATTTATTGTATTAATTCGTATTTTCCTTCTTCGTTCTTAAACAGTTTATAAAATTCAATAGTTTCTGTTTTTGGAGATTTAATTTTGTTCTTATTTAACATATCCATATATTGCTTTTGCTTATCTTGAAAACTGCCAGACGGCCTTCCTATTTGTTTCTTTTCAAATATTTTATCAATCTTTTCCTTCTCTTCATTGCTATTTTTTGGTTCGTATGCCTTTGCATCAAGTTTCTGGTCAATAGTTTTTATCATCTCGTACAACAGTTTAACATTTTTACTAACTGTCATTATTTTCTTTGATAGTTCAACAATAACATCATTTTCAACTTCAGACATTTCTATATATATATATTTATTTATATAATTATTTATTTAAATATTTATTTATAGAATTGATTTAATGTAAAATCTACTCTTTAAGTACTAAATTTTCATCATTTGTTTAATAGTTTCCTGAGTTTCGTTATCTCCATTATCTGACATTGTTGCCTCATTTCCAAATTTGATAGAAATGTTATGTGCATCTGTTTCCAGATTGATACTGTCCTTAGTTTTATCAATATTCATTTTCTTATCATTTTTAGTTATTTTAAACCCTAATGGCACACAAGAACATTTGCAATTTCCTTTCTTTTGAATTTCTAATTCGTTCTTCATTGCTAACATCTTTCTACACATAGGACACTCAAACTCAGTTAGTGCTGTTTCTTTAACAATTTCTTCTTTTTCTTCATCTGTTGAAGAAACTGTAGTATCTGTTTTATTCTTTTTGTTTTTCTTTTTTCCCATTTATATTAATATTTACATTTTTATTTTTGATATATTGTATTCCTAATTTTATTAATTCTAATGAATAAAAACAGCATTTTTTAATTTTATTGTCAGTTATTATCACTTGTTCTATATTCTCTACTTCATCTATTATATCAATATAATCTGAATAACTTCTATCCATATTAAATAATAAGATGAAATAATTATTTAAAATAATTATTTGATCTTATTAGTTTCATGCATAATAGAATATTGGTGGGGCACAGCACTTGGGGTTTTCATTGCACACGCGAGCAAGACACAAAACTAATTATCTTCAATGCTTATTGATTGAAGCAATGGAAAACCTGTTCCATTTTTTCATTGATATTTGCCGTCATCATATCATGAAAAAACGATGTTCCATTTAATATTAAATAGAATATGTATTTAAACTATTTTCTTTACTAAGTTTCATTGCAGTTGATAGACTAACATCTCTAATATTAATATCAATAACTTCTTGTACACTATTTATCATTTCATTTGTATACATATCGGGATAATCTTTCATAAAATTTACTAACTTTCTAAAATTAAAGTCTAGGTTATTGTCATTTTCAATTGAGGACTTGGATACTACGATATTTTGTTTTTTAATTGCCGATAAAAAGTATAACATTGTATCATAATATATTTGTTCAGTGTCGGGCACTAAGATATCACCAAATTTATATATCCTCCGAATACTAGCCACTTCACTTAAATTAATAGATTCTATTGCCATTATGATATAATTATATTATATTTTTTATTTTATAAGTATTTATAATATTATTTTATTATGCCTGATACTTCACCACCAAAAATAGAACCAATAAATGTTAGACAGTATGAGTTTAAACAGCCATCATATGA